TCAGCCGGAGTCGTATCAGAAGTTCCGTGCCGCAGTTCATAACAGGCTCACGTGTTCTTCACACATTACGGTTGGGCAGTTTGGCCCGGTCGAGGCCAGTTCACTGTTGGGGACGTCCGCTCGCCCGCATGCGCTTGGGAGTGTGAGTCGACGTTTCTCTCTCATGGTCGCCATCGTCAAAGACGTTCCCTCCGTGTGCGCGCCGCAACGGCCGGGTAAGTCTGTTGCTGGCACTGGCACTATGTAGAGTCGGAAGAAGCGCCCACGGAAGAACATCCCGAAAGCACAATAAACCAGCGCAGCTCAATGCCCACTCTCGCCTCTGCTTTCCCCCGCCGGCGATAGGCTGGCTCCAACTTCTTCACATTCTCTTTGACAGAAAAGGAGCATGTCTCAAGAACCGATAGAACTGTGGGGCTCGTCCTCCCTTTGGAACAGGAGAGACCGTTCACTCCTCACACTCATAAGAGGATATGACCTCCACTGTGAGAGAGAAGGCACCGGTCGCAGGCCAAAAACAGGCCTGACATGGGTAAAACAGCCCAGATCAGACCTGTCTTGGCGTGACCTGGACTGGCTACGATCGACCGGAAGTGATGGGATAAGCAATTGTTATACAAATAAAGGTCAAAATACGTCGGATATGACGCTTAATGACCACATATGTCATTCCAAATAGGTTTAAAGTAGTTTCCAAAAAGTTGATTTTTTCCCCAAAACTGCCAACTTTGACCTCAATTCGCGACCCCTAAATATCAATATTTTTTCAAAATTATTTTGCACACATTATTTTTTACGGGAATGGAACCAGAAAACTACCCGCACGCCTAAAAATCGGATAACATAAAATTCACCCTATTGCTAAGTGCCACCCTAATAGGTAGGTATTGAATTGTTAGCACCCTAAATGAAGTTAGGGTACTAAAAGCAACCTTGCTTGGCTAGCTGCTTATATTGCATCCATATTTAGAAACTTATATGTGCCTTTGCAACCATCCAGCTGTTGGTAGTTATGTTTGTTGTGTGGCCCCTATCCCATCTGATCAAAATTTGATTTCTCCTGTCCTTATGTAGCTGGTGGCCATCACATTATGTGTCACATGCCAAGTCAGGTTTGACCAAATGTTTCTCACTCACAAAGTCTCAATAGCTGGTGATTCACTGACCTTTTATGCCAACACTGCTGATTCTGTCATAAATGGAAGTTACTAGTAGTGCCTCTTGACCTTTCACTGGTGAACAGGGCAGCCCTCAGACTATTGGTAAGTGAGAAGCCAAGAAATACCATCAAATTGGCACTGTGCTCTGACAAATGAGCACAATACCCACAGTGACTATAAATACAACCAGTATAACGCCTTTTGGGGCGACTAACGGAGCGAGCGAGAGGGTGAGCCTTGCACGTGCGAAATTTCGAGGGGGTACCTCCAGCTGACTTGTGCACGGCACCCTACTAACCGGTCTCTAGCGATGTGCCAAATTTGAGCACAATCGGCCCAGCCGTTCTCGAGATCTGGAAGCGGCACTCTGCACGTGCGCACGTGCAAAATGGGTCCCAACTGACTTGTGCACGGCACCCTACTAACTGGTCCCTAACCGTGTACCAAATTTGAGCGCCATCGGTCCAGCCGTTCTCGAGATCTGGAAACGACCCCTGCACGTGCGCACGTGCAGCAGCACCCCAACTCTGGCACATGGATATGTAGTGCCTAGTGGGTGCCTACCTACATGCCAACTTTCAGCGCAATCGGCCAAGTAATTACCAAGATATTGCAACAATTACAAAACTGACACCTCTTCGTTTTGCACGTGGCGCGTGCATTAGGGGTCACCCACATGCATCGGGAATAGTGCAATACTTGGTAGAAGGAATGAAGCTACCCTACAAAAATTACCGCATGTAAATCGGTCAAGTGGTTGCTGAGATATAAGCCTCGCAAAAGCGTGACCACGGCCGGCCGGCCGCTCATACTCAGAAATTTCCGTTAATCTAAGGAAAGACTACGCTCGCTTCGCTCGCTCCGTAATCAGACAATACCAACAGCTTTGGGGCCAGTGCACCTTGGGCTGATTATACTGAAAATTGGCCTGATTTTTTACAATGAAGCCTCAAACACAGATCTGCATTTGTGCTCTGTCTGATGTATTTATAATTTATATTCTTGAATCCACATAACGGGTGTCTAGTAATTTTTGGCACAAAACTAAATGTCTCATAAATCACATATATTTTGCTCAAACGTCACCAAACTTCACACATGGTTGGAAGCACTCATACTTAACGCTATCTGATCAGTGCAGGCTGCTGTTGACTCCTCGTCGCTCGGCACGGCGCACGTGCTCCGGGACCCTCTCCATCATGGTGCGCGGCACCTCCTCTCGGATCGAACGAAGAACCCTCTGAATACGGTTCTTCAGCTGGACTTCTGATGCCGTTCTCCATCCGCCCTTGTAAACTTCCTGCTTGACGATGCCCCAGAAGTCCTCGATGGGGCGCAGCTGAGGCACGCAGGGCGGGTTTTCATCACGCGCAACAAACGGCACCCCAGCCTCCTCCAGAAGGGTGACCGTTTTCTTGGCATAGTGGGCCGCTGCCAGGTCTGGCCAAAAGATAAACCCACCATGAGGGTACTGTTCTCTCAAAAATGGGAAAAGTTTCTTCTGGAGACACTCTTGGCGGTAGAAGTCGCCCCCTACGTTGGTGCGGCTCGGGCAGATGACAGGGCTTGACACCCCCCTGGGAGAGATCGCCACCCAGACGAGAAGCTTTCTCGGGAACTTTCCCACAGGCCGGAATCTGACGTCATCCGGTACGTCTCTTCCAGGGCCAGCGTAGAAGCCGGAGTTTGCGGGCATATCACTTCCTGAGAACGTAAAATAGCTCTCATCATCCATGACCATCTCCAGTTCGGCGTTCCTCGAGAACGACCCACGGGCCAGCCGTCTTATCCGGGTCTTCTGCCGCTTTTCTTGCTCAGGAGTGACCTCGGGCACCTTGATCCTTTTCTTATACTTTATGTTGTTATCATGAAGGATTTTCGCCACATACTGATGAGATTCGCCAAAACGCCGGGTCAGCACGCGCAGGGATGTTCCAACGCGTCCCTTGGCGGCATTCAAAAGAAGGAGCTTCTTCTGGGGCCCAAGTTTGGAGGGTTTTGCGCCAGCTTTCCCTTTACCGGCGTGCTTACTGCTACCCCTAGTCTCAGTGCCCTTTAATATACGGTAGGCAGTTTTTCTCGACACTCCTGCTACCTCCAGCCGTGACACAACCTCGCTTTTTGGTAGGAAATGGTGTTCTTTGGCAAAATCGGCCACAAATTCACGAACCTCCGTTTTATTCAAAGTCTCCATGATAAGTGAATATTGCACGAAAATAAAATAAAAATGTTGTGGCGCCTGCACAATTGTTAGGTCTTCATATGCAAAGAATTTCAGTGACATTGGGTGACATTATTGTAAATAAAAATAAATCAAACTTTTGTGCCAAAAATTAGTAGACACCCGTTAGAGTGGGGTGCAGCATGACCCCAGCATTATTAAAGGATACAATGGCCAACCATACCTACTTAAGTGAGATCAGTCTATGATTATCTGCACAAATCGCTGGACCTATTATCTGCACAAAATGCTGGACCTCATGCAAATACTGCACTCAGCTTTCTTCATAACCTGATGTTGATTACAACATATGCTAAGTTGTTCTTTGCATATTCCTCCTGCAATTTAAGCTCTTTGTTGGTCTTTTTGAAGTCTTGCTATTTTATATCTGACGACCAATAAACGATAGCGGTGCTACATTGCCGTTGGCTCCTTATTCGCCGTGGTGCGTCGCCCGATGTTCCATCCAATGGTGTAGTATGTTTGTCTGGTCGGTCAGAGCGACAGCTGAGTTTTCGCGACGGCGGGGCCTCAGAGCGGGGCCACGCCGCAGGGCTTGAGTAGAACGGCACTTACCGGCTGACCTACCGCAGGTACTGGCAAGGGCGGTGACATACGCTGCTATCAATCGCTTTGATTGCGATAGAGTGAGGTGACATATTTCACAGCTTTTGTGCTACCTGTTGAAACAGAAAGATAAAAATGCGTACAAACTATTGGCAACGACGGCCGCCTTGGCTGCTGCTACCCTTGCTTCTCTCACAGCTAATGCTACCGCTGCTGCTGTCTCTGACTGGTATCGAGCCTGTCCACTCATCACACACAATGTACATGTCCATGCGGCGGGCGCTCTGGACGGCCCCATCAGTCGCCGTGACTGAAACTACAACCACCCGAACGACTACGACCACAACGAAAAGGCAGGGGCGACCAGCGGGACGGCAACTACCTCTCCGAGCAAACCAGAGCCGACTGGCACTTCGACCATCATTCCGGGGCCGGGAGAGGTGGCCGACGGCGAACCGTCCTCTGTGAACGGATAGCTGGCTACCGGCCTGTCTGGAGGCTTTGTCAGGAGTGGCGAGTGGCAACAGGCCCGGTTTTCTGTAAGGAATGCACGAGTACGACAATAGCGCATGTGTGCACCTTCAACTGATCACGGTACCCGCGTCAGCTTTCGTCGAAATGCTTAGCTTGCCCGGAGTTGGCTCATCTGTGTCTCTTCTGATTACTTCAAAGGGACGATTATCAAAATGCGCATCTGCTGTTGCATTCAGCGATAAATCGTTGCTTGGTCCATGGTGTTGCCCGTGCATCTCGATGGAGTGGTGCGCTTAGGCCAGTTTATCTGGACAAAGGACAAAGATGGATGTCGGATGAGATCACACTGCTTCCTAACGATTCAGTGCACGCTGATAACTGAGAGGAGGTGCGGTGCAATATTTGATTTTGAATATTTGATTTTTTGAAAATTTTGATTTTTTTTTTGCCGAAGCTGATGCTCTGCCAGCGAAATTGCAATTCTAAGCGGATCCAAACAGATTTCAAACCGCGACCCCGAGGCCCGTTCAGTAATGGGGGATCGTGAGCTGACCCGGAGTCCTGACGGCGTGTTTCAGAGCAGCTGAGCCTGCACACACACGTGCCGGCCGACTCGACCTGGGAGCGGGACTGGGACAGCGTGGTTCCCGACCTGGTCGATGACAAACAGCCCACCTATGTGCTCTACAGGTACGGGACGCTGCGGTATACTTACTTGCTTTACTGCGGAGTCCTTTACAGTTTACTTCTGATGACCACTCGTTAACTTCGGAGCGCATCCTTATTGCTTATTCAGCCGTCTTTTTCTATGTATTTATTTACAGTTCATTCCCGTTGTTGTGTTCCTTAAAAGAAGCACGTATTTTTATCGTGAACTTTGTCTAACTTCTTTTTTATTAGCGTGTCTTAGTTTCGGTAACGTTCCAGGCTGGACTCGAAGAACTCGATGGGTTTCGAGTGGCTGATGATCACCTGGTCGCCGGACGACTCGCCAGTCCGACAGAAAATGCTCTACGCCTCCACAAAGGCCACGCTCAAGAAGGAGTTTGGCGGAGCTCAGATCAAAGATGAAGTGTTCGCGACCGTAAAGGTATGATGCATTTTAACTTACTTGCAATGATCAGTGACCACAGTTCGCATATTCTTACTACTTGGTCAGCAATATCGATAGTCGCTGTTTATTTTTTGGGGACTGAATACGAGTACGCGATAGCAAAAGTTTGCATCAATGGTTCGCATAAAAGCTTGCTGTTTGTGTTTGCTTTTCCTGTGTTTGTGTCGGGAACATCGGCCTCCGGTGTCTATCTGCTATGGTCAGCGATATCACCATGGTGCCGCCTCTCTCCGCAGGAGGACGTCACGTTCAGCGGCTACCAGCGCCACCTGCGGGCGCAGAAGGCGCCGGCGCCGCGCTCCATGGCAGAGGAGGAGAAGGCAGAGATCCGCCGGGCGGAGGTACGACGACCGCAGTTTCACACTGTTGAAATTTGAGTGGAATCTCACACCAACACACAGACCTTTAGGCGTTCTTCTTCAAAATATGCTTGGGCTTAGTAATTGCCAGGCGGATGTGCATTTGACAGATTAAATTCAGCCTCTGTCCTTTCATGGTGCCCGAGGAGCGATGTTTGACGGCAACATTGATCGTCGTTTGTGCTACCTGTTGTCATGATACTTATGATTGCGAGTAACGCTGCACGAACCACAATAAATTGTTTCAAATGTTAATTTGCTCCCTTATCAGCCATTCCGTCACAATATTACGCTGTTGCAGAGCTGTAGATTACTTTCCTGTGTATTTGTGTAGCTAATGCTGGCAGCTGTGTGTATGTGTGTGTGTGTGTGGGGGGGGGGGCAGGATATGACCCCGTGTGACCTGTGATGTGACCTTTCCATTCAGGTGAGTGTCGACGTGGCGGTCGACACCAAGCAGCAGACGATGGGCAGCGTGGCCTTCCCCATCAGCCGAGACGCGCTGGATGAGATCAGCAGGCTGTCCGAGGGCCGGATCAACTATGTGCAGCTCAGCATAGGTAGGTTAACTCGCTGATTGGACCTGGGACGTCCCGATGATGGGGTTCGGGATACTGGGTGTATTTTTAGCCCGGGTGGTGGTGTCTTTTAATATTAGACTGCCATGGATTACGACAGCGTTATTGGCAACATTCACTGTTTAGTGGAGCTCATAAGAGCTTCTACTATGGGGAAATGGTGTACTAGAATTATTCGCTATCAAAACATTTCGTAGCGACGCTACTCGAGATTTAAAGGCCAGGGGCGGTGTTTTAAGTACTTATTTTTGCTTAAATATCACTTCCTGCGTTTGAGAAAAATGACCATGACGCCTATGCGAGGGATCCAGAATCACCCTGGTAGGTATTGTTCTTACTGGTTTCCTTTTTCCCTCCTCCTCTCTCTCTCTCCCTCCCATAAGTTTTTTTATCATTTTCCGTTTCCGTTCGGCAGACCTGGACCGGGAGACCATCAACCTGGCGGGTTCGGACAGCACGCCCGTGTCGGCGCTGGCGTCTCGCGTGCCCACTGACCAGGCGCGCTATCACCTATACGTGTTCACGCACCAGTACGAGGGCGACGTCTTCCACAGTCTCGGTGAGTCGGCGTGTAGTGGGTGTGACCAGGGTGTGGCGCAGAGTGGGCAGTGTGAGCGCCGCGCTATATCATTCGGTCCGGGATGGTGCGGCTTGGTGAGTGTTCAAAGACGACTTATAAACCACATGCGCAATGTATTATGAGCATACCTAACAAGAAACTCAAGTATCCACTATCCCGTCTGTGTATTTCTCATACATGATATAGGTAGGTTGTATTCATGTTAGATATCTTTTTATCTTGCCTGGGACGACCCTCGCGGGTTCCAAGCCTATAGGTTTCAAATGTATTTTATGCAAAAAAAAAAAACTATGAAATACAAAACTAAAATAGGCTCTGGCGCGGGCTCGTACGTCATATGCAGCGGACCGCAGGGCGCCCGTTTTACATCGGTCGATCGTCCGATCGAAACTAGATTATACGTGCTTTGTAACAATTTGTATAGGTACGACTCTGCTAGCGAATCCATTAAGAAGGCTCTTGTTTCCTTGCACCATGCAGCGCTCCGTTTTAGGTCGTCAAGCTGGCAGACAGAGTGGCACCTCCATGGATCTGATAAACTGAGGAGGGTAAAACCTACCTTGGAGCCCTGACAGTCTTGTTTTCAAAGCAACAGACACAAGAAAGTGGTCCTTTGCAGATTGTGCATAGGCCATACGTATGCAACGCATGGTCATCTCCTCCGTGGAGATGAACATTGAACAACCCACATGCAATCAGTGTGCCGTGCCTATTGCAGTCGCTCACAATCTCTTATCTTGTCCATATCTCGAACCGAACCGGACACGCTATTTCGGCTACATCGCTCCGGGTACCACTATCCGCCACCTGCTGGGTTACGGACACCGTGGCTTTTATCAGGCAACATCTTTTCCTTCATCCGTGCGATCAAACTCCAAGTAATTTACTCAGCTCGACCCCAGCCCATCTAGTCCTTCGTCTTTACATCTATTTAGTACGACAGTTATCTAGTACGACACGTTTGCGTTGTTCTATCCTACCTTGCCCCTTTTTATCTAGTCTTTGGCTCTCTAGTCCTTGTATCTAGTCGGTTCTCTTTTGACACATTTGTTTCACTAGCATGATGTTCTGGGCGCAAAATGACCCCAGTAGTCGGCGAGCCCTAAAGCCCCAATAAACAAACAAGCAAGCGGCCACTGTCTTTTGCTGTTTTCGCTAAAAACGCTCATCCAAGACAGAAGTATGGTTTAAGCTTCGGTAAATTATGTTTCGGAAAGGTTATCGACCGTAGTATTGTCAAGCAAACAACTGTAGGGCATGACTTGAGTCATGCAATGTTGCCCCCGACTGCGGGCACAACTGTCGACTCCGACCGACTTGGACTCCGCAACACTGCTATAGTTCGTTTTTTTTTTTCCAAAAGGACGCTGGCTTCAAGTATGTTTTTCGAACAAGCACGTGTTTTAGCGAGCAAAACGAGCAAAAACTGAACCTGAGAAAATCGAACGTCGACTAATTTTAACCCTCGCCCATGTAGGGGGGGGGGGTTGGTGCAACCCCCCCCCCCTGAGGTTTTTCGGAAATAGTGCAAAAACGGCGGCGCGCAGCGCCGCCAAATTTTGGGTACCTTATGGGGCAAACCTTGCGCATCTTTTGATAAAAAAAAAATTGACCGGGTCATGTCAGGTCACGGAGTTATGACGTCACAAAGGGAACAGCCTCCGGCCGGATTTTCACAAACTGAGTGCCAACGCCCGAGGTTTCCTGCCGGTGGTACGGTCATCGGTTGATGGATCGTGATGAAACCCCATGCATGTTAGGGCAAGTATTGGCTATCATATGGTATAAGAAACTTGACCGGGTCAGGTCAGGTCACGGAGCTATGACGTCACAAGAGGAACAGCGTCCGGTACTATTTTTGAAAAGCGCCCGAACCACTATTTTGCTAATTCTTGTCACCTCAATGGGAATATGCAGCAATATTAGCTTCTATAGGGAGCAAATGGACATCCCAAATCCAAAAATACAATCAGATTTCAAAAATTTAAATTTTGATTTTTCGAATTTCTGCCGCCGACTGTGACCTTGCCGACTTCCGGCGCTCCCAACGCGCCATTTTTAGAGCTAGGGAAACGAAATACATACCAAACGATAGCGAATTGATCAAGGAACACGATAGTGAAGGTTTCAAGTCGATATCTCCCACCGTTTTGCCGCAATCGCCGCGGAAAATTTGAAAAAGTCTATTTTTCCGAAAATTTGACCTTTGACCGGTCAAAAGTAGGTCAAATGTTGACCTAGGACCAAAAAATATACCACCAATCGCGAGATCTCGGCGAGAGCAATCCGTTGGTCTTTTCCGCTAAGCTCTACGACGCTCCGTTTTCAAACGCCAAGGGGGGGGGTCGCACCAACCCCCCCCTGCATGGGCGAAGGTGGCAGATCGCCGTTTACGGGCGAGGGTTAACATGTGATTTCTTCCCGATAATTTCCATATGTGCGTTTTGGGACCAGATATGAGAACAGTGGTGACGTCATGCTGTCGAACATGTATTGCAATGTAACATATAACTATCATGGACGGAACCGCTCACTCGATTATAAGCTCGGCAACGGTGAAAAACTAAGTTTCACCCAAATTCGTTGACACTTGTCCCATTGCACGGACATTTGGGTGCTTGCTGCCACCAGTAGCGTCATCATAGTATGCTCATTTTTAAGAAACAATTTTCAGCTACTTACCGTGCACAATTTGAAATCGATTATTTTTTTCGGTAAGAAATTATTGGCCAGACACTGAAGCTGCCAAAACTCACGTGAGAGCTTCGATATTGAACTTTGAGCCAGCGTCCTTTTGAAAAAAAAAACGAACTATAGTTAGTCAGGCCAGCACACTTTCGGATATCTACCATCCCCCCCGTCCTAACTACCCCGTGTCGAAGTTGCTCACCTTTTACATGCATCATCGCCTCTCCGCAGTGTTCATCTATTCGATGCCGGGGTACTGCTGCTCGATCCGCGAGCGGATGCTCTACTCCAGCTGCAAGTCTTCCGTGATTGATTTTATTGAGAATCAGTGTCAGCTGAACATCACGAAAAAGGTGAGCTGCGCGGCTGTTACACGGTGTTAATTCTTAGCAAAGCCGTGTACAGAACCGGGGTAGTGCAGTGCATCAGAGCATGTTAGATGACGTATTCACAGACGATGTTTTGTTTATTGGAGTGGTGTAAGTTATACCTTGGCCACTCACTGGTAGTTAACCCGCGCGGGGCTGGGGTCTCCAGCCGAACGCGCGGGGCTGGGGGGGGGGGTAAATTTTACCCCCCCTGTTATCTCCCGAACTAATGGTCCGATTTGGAAAATTCAAACGCCAATCGAAAGCTCTCATCACGAACTACTAAAAACATGTACTTAATTTAAAGTTTGAGGTCAAGGTCAAGGTCAGGTCAAGGGTACAAATTGCAAGTTTCTACAGTATCGGCCTTGCACCGTAGTTGCCGAAGAATGGAGTCATGGACTGAGACTGATCGCCCAAAACGTGTTCTTAGGCTACCAAGACAATATTCGTTGCATACAATATCATTCAGAGGTCAAGGTCAAGGTCAGGTCAGGTCAGGTCAGGTCACCAAAAAACAAAATATAGAAAAGGGCATGTGCGACACATGTTTTATGGGTCATTTTACTCATAGAATTCAATAGGCACACTCAATAAGTGATATGGACCACCTCTGGATGAATTTCAGGTCGAGGTCAGGTCAAGGTCAGGTCAAGTGAGGTCAAATTTTGAAGTTGGTTTTTAAGGCCTAAAAAGGTGTCTATCTGATGCAGTTTTTCACGGCGAATCGAATGGTGCTATTTTTGTTTCCGTACGAGGTCTAGAACTTCCAAAAAAGTCATTTTTTCAAAAAAATTGTGTGTCGTGACGTCATAAAATTTTGAATAACTCCCACATTTTTGAACCGATTCTTCTAAAATTTGGTATGTAGGTGCACATAGACCATTTTTCTGACATATATTCCGGTTTTTCGATAGACTCAAAATTTTGGATTTTATAATGATTTTCCCAAAAAAGTCAGTTTTTTTGAAAAAATTTAGGCCAAAACCCAAAATTTTCAAAAAACCGAGATAGCCATTTGATAGACAAAGTAAAACCACGTATAACCTTTTTTGTTACGTCTTGATTCCTTTAAAACTGAAGATGTTAGCGGCGTTTGAACTTTTGCCGTTTTTGAGGCGAAAATGGCGAACATGACGTCACTAAAACGTCAATTTCTCAAAAAATTTCCGACGGATTTCGCTCAAATTTTCAGGGAACGTGTCAAATTGATGTAAGAAAAGGTACTGAAAGTTTGGCGGCGCTGAGCGCCGCCGTTTTTGAGATATCGCAAAAATTCGCGAGGGGGGGGGGGGGTAAAATTTACCCCCCAGCCCCGCGCGGGTTAAATATCTTACGATGGCTGTCGTAAGAAAAACATTCGTGCTGTTTACATGCGTGTAACACGCTTCTGTTCATGCCCGCCTGTCGCTCACTAACTAATTGAAGTGTAGATCTGTGTATTGATGTGGTCTCTCTTTCCCCAACAGATCGAAATAGACGACCCCTTGGAGCTGACGGAGCAGTTCCTACTGGACGAGATCCACCCTAAGAAGATGCTGCACCGGCCAAAGTTCGCCAAGCCCAAGGGCCCGGCCAACCGTGGCGCTAAGCGGCTCACCAAAACCTCGCCGGACTCGTAGCCGAGAGGTGGCCCTCCGTTTGCGCGTGCTGTGCCGGTAAGCGGGCGGGGCGCCGGGCACGACCGGCAACTGTCGTCTGCCACATGACTGCGGAGTGTTCTAGTAATCGCTGCGATTTTGCCGTGATCTATTTACCAGTGCCGTCACATGATTGGCATGTCAATCAGTCTCAGTCCGCTAGAGGTTGGCTGGCAGACGTGCGAACGGCGCCAAAAAGTCGGCGACAATTTCTGTGATGTGTATTCGTAAACTGTACATCAAAGTCCTTTTATAGCAGAGTTTCGAAAGGTTTTGTATTCCGAGGAATTTGGCGTATCTATTAGGCCTGCTTGCGATAGCAGCCAAGGTTGTGATAAAAGGGCGAGGCCACCAATGCAGCCTCGCTTTCTCCATATATTGAAGCACCGGAGCGCCAATCGATTCTTGTGGGTCAGCTGAGAGCGACACCGCGTTCTGTCGGCGATCAGGGGCTTCTGTATCTGTCCGGTACCGAACATCCCGAGCCATCCTTGTGTACCTCTGGTGCGGTTCTCAACTTCCTCGTGTCGTGTCACTTCTTCAGACCCAGGATCGTTGGGTTTACCAAAGACTGTCGGAGGTTATGTATCGATGTCTTGAAAGTCGCCTGTCGGCACCGTCTTTATTCATGCTTGGTATCGATTTGTTGTTAATCACCGCTTTGAGATATAAAACGTAGCTGCACCCTGCGTTGATCAGATACAGGTGTGGACGAAATGTCATTTCGAGCTGTTTGCGGATAAGATACAGCAATAGTTGCGCGTATAAGCGCCAATTGGACGCTAATTGGATATTCGATCGTCATGTGCTGATAATTGATACCGCCCTTTAAATCACAGGCCAACTGAAATGCGAATTTAATTACCCATTTCCATCTGGCCCAGGCAGTGAATGGTGGGCGATGAACAACGCTGACGTATCCGCGACTCGTTTTATATGCGCTAATATACTGTGTTAGCTTATGCCGCTTTTTATTCATTTTTCCTCTCAGATCCAGTTTTTTTTTACATGATTATTTTGTTCCATGAACTGTCCACAGAACATACGCCGTTCACTTAGAAAACATTTATATTCATACAGCAAGGCACATCATTGTTTCAACTTTCACGTAGCATGCGATCCCACAAGCATGATGGGCAGCGATCGGCCGCACCACCAAACGGCAGCTGCGTTCATCTTATGGCCCAGAGATCTACCCACCTATACGTGGCGCCCGGACAAAGAATCCAGCTTCAGGCTCATTCCGCCACGCAGATTGATTGGCAAGCGCAATTATATGTCCGAGCTAAAACTAGATTCATACCATGAGGCAATGTCAAATGGAGTGTCATCGCGGATAAAAATGGCATCGCTTGACTAACAACCAGCACAAGTGCTAAAACAGTATAGTTCGGTAGTCCAGTGCCCCATGCACAAAGAAGGCGATAAATATGTGCAAAAAAATTACTCCAAGGATGATATTCATCAAGTCACTGCAATAATCATGGCATACAAAACCGATTCATCGTCAATGCGTGGGCAAGCCTCCCATAACATCGCCCTTGTCATCAACCCCGTCAGTGCAAGCCTCCCTAGCGAAGCGGCGACGGTCCACTTTCCACTGCAATGATCACGAAAACCACGTAACAACTCAATCAACAAAATTATGGGCACTTTATGTACACTTTATGCACATGACCAGACACTTGTGGTATGAGGATGAAACAAAAGACGACAACTCGAAAAGCCCTCGGACTTCACAGGGCAGCACTCGTGATGTGTACATGAGTCCGCGGATGCTGCTCCTTCAGTCGAAGCTAGGAATGTCGTCGAACGAGAACCCATCGTAGCCGAAGTAGGCCATGTAGGCCACACGCACGTGGTAGGCTCCCGGTATGAACATGATGAGACCGAGCAGAATCAGCGGCCACGTCCGGTCGGCGTACTGCAAAAAAAAAAAAATGTGACAGCACACCTACTGAAACGGACGCGGCATTTTGCACAGGATTGCTAGATTGTTCTGGTTTCATCGCATTGTATGAGTAAGTGAAACTGGGAGCCATGCCATGCATCAAATCTGAACAGGTAGAATATGACATTGATTTCACGCATGAAACGAAATCGTGAGATGAAACTAATGATTCTGAAACAGTCTTTAAACACATTTTTAACGCAATTTTAATGAAGATTCGCTCATGTGTCGCATCTCATATGTCAAAATTAGTGTCAACGACAGCAAATCACCAAGCTAGTCAGCCCTGCTATACAGGCTAGCAGGAGCAGACAACTCACCCGTTCATCGATCAGGAAACCGGACACAAGGAGGCTGCCCATGACGAGCAGGGTGGTGCCGATCGCAAACAGAAATGACGCCAAAAAGATGCTCTTCCATGGAATCGGCTTCCTTACCACCATGTACTATAGACAACAGGAAAAAAAAGCAGTCAAATACATTTCAGAAATAAATGGTGACCAAGTCACTTCGTTACAATTTTCAAGCAACCACCTTAGTTCAGGTGGTTGTATGTAAGATGTCACCAATTTTCAAGGCCTTGCAAGGCATGATTGAAACCTAGGCTTGCTCTAATGACCAAAGGTACTGACTACTGCCAGTATTTTATAATCAAAACTACCAGTGACTGTGGCTGCTTTGAGTTCCACTCATGAGTCACTTGGCTTTGAGTCTGTGAGGCCTAGACAATAAGGCATCCATATCTAACACTTGGTGGCAGGGTGACCAAGGCAAGCTAGCCTAGCAGTGTCATCCTGGATATCAGATTACCCTGCTTATTCACCACAAGCAATATTTGAGGTACCAGTGCTACAGCCATCAGTCATCACTTACTGATTGATCAGACATAAAAACCCAAGGATCAGAACTGATGGCCTGCTGCAAAGCCCTGCGTCCTCTCAATAGTGGGGAGCTCGGCAGCAAAACATGGTAATCTCAAAATTTTGTTTGGTACTGGGATACTTTAACAGCATGCAGTACAGTGTTGATTTACTGTGATGTTATACAGAATTTCCATAGAAGGGTACCTACACACCCTTGGTGGTACCTACTCTACTGGTGCATATCATTGACTGAGTTGCCATGTTTTGCAGTTTGGGTGGTGAGCACAACCACTGACCTGTTGATCACTGAACTCTCCATCACCAATCTGTGTCAGTCTGTGGTACTCTGCAGCTGAGCCACTGCCTGTACGACGACGCATGTTTGACCAAAAGCCGTGAACTGAACACTGAACAGTGGATCTAACACCACGAACAGGCAACCGCAGCAACAGTCTGCAAAAACATCACAAGAGCATCATAATGTACCGTGTCAGAAATTGTGATATTTATTCACATTCAATGACAACACAACACAACACACACATGATGACAACACAAAATATATAGAATATTTGCTTTTGTGTTGTCATCGAATGTGAATAAATATCACAAGAGCATAAATATTTGCTGATGACCTGTCAAGTGCTAAATCAAATTTGCGAGTACAATCAAGATGCAGACCTTAATTTCAACTTTCATCACTTCGATCATGTATCAGTATTTTATATTGATATCAAAATCTAGTATCAACGGAAGCAAAACTATAATCTAAATGAAGAACCATACCTGAAGAAGAGTGATAAATCCCGTTCCTTGAATAGAAATAAATGCAATAAAAACAAAGTATATTTTCGGAAAAAGATGCCCGCGATGACCTCACAACCTCACAACGACGTACTATAAAAGTGTATTTTGTAATAAGCTGAAAAAATAGCGAACTACGATAAGAAATATAGGTAAATAACCCCAGGTATTCGATTAGTTGACAACATCGCGCTGATTCAAGGCAATTTTCTTCATTGGTTTGTTCCCGTCGCTCCTCCCAAAAAATCTGGACATGCCTAAGAGCTGGACTTTTTGCACGCGTTCCCCGCCAGGGGGCGCCACTGAGGAAGCACCCTCTGACGTCACGATAAAACTGCGCGCACTGTGCGCACGGTTCTGTAAGCAAGTAGTATAGTGGTGGTTTCATGGTGGAAATTGGAATAAGTATTTTGACGTTGTAAAATTTCAAGCCGTTTTTGTGAAATTAATAAGTAAATGCATTTCAAAAGTATTTATTTAAAGTGTGAAAGGAGAATAATTAGAAAAACATGGATATTTTTGTTCCAATAGCTTATTATGTGAGACATGATCGGTACTAACGGGTACTTCTAAGAAGTAGTGAAGAAGTACCAAACAGCCACTATCAAACAGCCTGCTCGGCTACGATCGTCAGCTGTCCTTTGGAGCTGGACTTCAACGCTGTAAAAAAAAATATGTGCTGAATTAATTTTTAGTTTCACCAAAATATAAGCAATTTATCATTTCTTTTTCACTTTTGTAATTATTGTTGAGTGAAGAGACATGTTGCTAGTTCTGACAATATAAATTATTAATTAAAAAAACGAGATGCGACGGTAAGTATCTGCTACTAAATTATCACTTTAACCAAATACATGGAGTATCTTGCTACCATTGCTTATAAAACGTGCTTATCAATACACAAATGTTTTATTTCAGACAAGAAGGATTTATTTGCCTGAAGTCTTGCGTCATGTGCTACTGCTTTGATTCCAAAGACGCTATCCGGGTCGGGGTAATTTAGTCTTTCATCGATCGATAAGAGATTTTGATTCCATTGATATCCAAATTGATAAGCTCGGCACCATGGAGTAAGGGCGTCCCCACAGGGGTGACGCAGGAAATATGAATGGCGTTTACACCGACAGTAGTTTCCCACAGCCGGCAATGGGAATCTCCTGTCGGTGTAAACGCCACTATAGTCCCATCCAACTCAAACACTGGGGAATATCCCCGCACTTTTGAGGACGGAAATCTATGGACCTGCTCGAAAAAATAGTGGATAAAATACGGCGAGCTTTCAGTTTTATGGTTGGGTCTCCCTTCCGAGGCACATATTTACGAGGGATATTGGGTCATATTCCCCCGGCGTCCTGATGATCGGCGCCCAGCTCAACGTCGAAGGCGCCCTGATACGCGGCACTGCTATCTGTGAAGGTGCCCAGGTTGCTGCCGCTCGAATTTTGGTCGCCTACTTAACAAAACCTCCGTTGGTGCCATCTCAGTTTCCTCGAGGTCAGGCAACCTTCACACGCCGTTGGCTACCTTGGCTGGCCGGCGACTCGTTCCCCTCGTGGCGACGCTCTTGACATCCAGTCAAAAGTTGGAGTGGCTGGCGCCCCCAGTGGGGGCCGGGGAAGGGGCAATGGGCCTCCACGTTGCTCTCTTCCCGAGCCTATGGTGACTTGGCTCAACTCTCCTCAATAGAATCTGGATTCTGCACGCTGTATTAACATGGGCGTAGACACCACTACGGACAATACGGACAGTGGGTGTGACAATCAGTAGTGCCATTCATATAGAGGGTGTCATATATGAGCGGAGAGGCAACAGTACAGCTGAGCGGAGAGACAACATTAAAACAACAGTACAGCAGCTGGCGTTGCATGGAGCTGCAGGCAACCGGACAGCGGAGGCTTGCGAAAAATAAACAATTCGTCACTTCAACGTATAAACAATAGTATAAAAAGCAACATAAACACATATTCTCATGGTCGAACCCATGCACTAGCGGCTCACGGCGGGCACAGGCACGCAGTGCGGTAGCGGTACCGGATCACACGTCATGGGCGTTGTCTCAGCATAGGTTGTTATGAGCGGAGAGGTAACAGTACAGCTGAGCGGAGAGACAACATTAAAACAACAGTACAGCCGGCGTTGCATGGAGCTGCAGGCAACCGGACAGCGGAGGCTTGCGAAAAATAAACAATTCGTCACTTCAACGTATAAACAATAGTAAAAGCAACATAAACACATATTCTCATGGTCGAACCCATGCACTAGCGGCTCACGGCGGGCACAGGCACGCAGTGCGGTAGCGGTACCGGATCACACGTCATGGGCGTTGTCTCAGCATAGGTTGTTCGCAATCTAGTTGAAGCCTAAGAAGACGGCCAGTGGGGTCTCACTGCTGCTGAGGCGACCTCGGAGACGATGCGTCGCCCCTCCTGTCGGCGACCTGCGGTGAGCAGGACTCCAGATAGCTGGCTGGCACGTTGCCGACACTGCCAGACGCTGTCAGCAGGCCTCACTGCTGCAAGTGATGTGCAGATGGACGCCAGGTGACTTCGTCTGCAGGCGATTCCGGAGACCGCGGCCTCACCAGGCAGTACCACCTGCATCGCCATGTCGGTGTTTCTAGAAATGGAAAAATAACAGTATCGGTGAAGGACAAGCAATACAATGTATTCTGTTTTCCTCTTTTGCAGGTATACATAATCTACAATTATCATTGTTCCTATTTCATTCAACTGAACCTGAAAATTCCATATTGGCACATTGTTTGACTAAATTTGTGCAGTTGGGAACAGGGGCGACGCCACGGTGCGACGACTGGAGGGGACATTGACCATTTTGGAGGGGACGAGGACCATTTCAAGTCGATTCTTTCCATGCAACGCCATAGGCGTAATGTTAAAATTTTAAAAAGTGGAGGGGACGAGATCCCCTCCGTCCCCCCCCCCTGTGGCGACGCCCTTGGTTGGGAAGCAGATTGTTTTAAATACATGTTTGGCTGAACAGTGCGGAAAATATTTCATTGATCACTATAGCTGCAACAAAAATACTGAGACAGAAAACATTTGCGCTTACCTGGCTCCTTAGTCAGTCCCGCACAACGGAAGTGGTACCATTTATCGCAGCCGTCGCATCCGACCATCAGTGCTGCACTGATGCTGCTGCACTCCCCACATTCCCAGTAGGTACCTTAGGAGCGTCTTGGCTGTGAAAAGATTACATGAGTCATGGCGCATACATGAATAGTAAGATGTTTTATATGTTTAACATCACATAGCAAAGACACAACAGCTGGGAGTCAAGTGTAAGCCAAAGTGTAAGCCCTGCCATGTTTTGCAGACTGGATTTTAAGCAAGAAAAGCTTTGCTAAAAATGACGCTTGACAAAGCCTCATCCTACTGGGCTGTCTGACATGTCCCCTGTAAAAAGCATGTGGCCCTTATATTGTATATATGATGAATATGTTAATAATGCAGAGAAAACACAGTATAAATTATACCCAACGTTTCATCTTAATCGACTTTGTCAAGGGTGTTTGAACAGCTTAAGATGAGTGAAGTGTAAGGGTACCTAGGTACATCTGAAAATAAACTGAATCTGCGTTCAATAAACATTGATTTTGATAATACATTTCACAAATCAACTGCTAATAACAATCATACTAAAATAGCACGACAGATAACTAACAATCGCATGAAGAACTTCTTGATTCGCCTTGACATTGTCGTCCGAACGAATGTTGTCTGAAGTTACACATTTGTCTTTTCTGCGCAGCATTTGTGTTTGCCATTTACCGCACCAATGTTCGCCAGCGGTGGTGGCTTTTCCTTACCTGCTCACGTAACGTCACACACGACATGACGTCACCCGAAGACGTCATCAAAAAGTCCAGCTCTTAGGCGTGTCCAAAAATCTCGGATGAGGTTGGATGAGCTTGGAGGAGCGCCGTTTCAGAGGAGCCACGGGAACATTTTCGCGAGGAAATCAGCTGTTTGCGGGCTGTAACGGTCGGCGATTTATGGCGCGCAAACATAAATCAAGAGATAATAATCGCTTTCTAATAAAATAACCTTAGATTAATATCAAACATTACTGTCTAAAGATATCTAATCATCATCAATCACTAAAATCATTTCCACTTCCCTCAAATCTCATTTATAAACAATTCACATTTGTATTACGTGCGCCAAATATGTCTACGCAAGAGCCTCCTCCAAAAAACCAACTTTCGTTTGGGATGAGGGAGGAGGCAAATAGTGCAAGAGGTACTACAGAGAATAGAAGCTGATAACATATGCCTAATGGAAGATCTCAATGTGATAATGAAGGATGTGGCAGAGAAATTGCTTACAAGAAGGTACAGAAGAAAAACTGACAGAAAGAATGAAAAAATCAAAGAAAAACCATGGATGACCGAAGAAATACGGAAACAAATCAAGCAAAGGAAAGCCTTCAACAGACTCAGGAGAAATGCAAAGTCAGAAGAAGAAAAGAGCAGATTATATGAAAAATATTATGAGCAGAAACGACTGACAAAGCTACTCATCAAGGAAGAAATAGCAAAGCATGAAAAGAAAGTGACTGACAAAATACGTTATAGTAGCTACAAAAGCAAGGCACTTTGGGAGAATATCAACAAACTTAAAGGAAAGCAAAAGGATAACAGTCCAGTTCGCCTATTCACAGAAGCTGGACAAATGCTGCAAGGAGAAGAAGAAAAGGAAAACTTAGCAAGTGTCTGGAAGAAAATCTATCAAAGACATGAAAACAAGTTAGAAGAAGTGTGGAACGATAGGGCGAAGCTAACCTATACTGCAGATCTGGAGAAAGAGAAACAGGACCAGATACAAATAAAAGGATATAGTTTCCCAATCACACTGAGAGAACATATGGATATGGCCATGAACAGTAGGAAGAGGATGAAGAAGATGGAAGATATACAAATAACTGAGGAAGAAGTCACCAAATGTATAGGCAGGCTTAAGAACAAGTCAGCGGCAGGACCAGATGAACTCAAGCCAGAACTATACAAAGCTTTGATAAAAAATGACAAATGCTTGAAGATACTGACAGGCTGCTACCAAGAAGTCCTCGAGAGAAGTGACACGCCATCAGAATGGAAGATATCAAGGACGAAAATGATACCAAAGACGTCTAAGCCAACTGCCAAAGACTTGAGACCAATTGCTTTAACGAATGTGTCATATAAGATCTACATGTCAATTCTAAAACAGCGACTAGAAGATCATCTAGAAAGCGCAGAGCAAAAGTTAGAGACACAAGCAGGGTTTACGAGAGGAGGAAGGATAGAGGACAACCTTTTCCTATTACAGTACTGTGTGGAAGAAAGCTTTAAAATGAAGGCACCTCTGATTGTTACTTCAATTGATTACAGCAAGGCGTTTGATTCCATCGATAGAGCTAGGATGGTAGAGGTGCTCATGAAATACAAGATTCACCCCAAAATGATTGATGCTGTGGCAGCCACATACCAAGGAGACAGAACCTGGATTGAACTAAATGAGAACATTAAGTTAGAGATTTTAGTAACAAGTGGTATACGGCAAGGGTGTACAGGATCAACTGCCTTCTTCAAGCTCATGACTTATATCATCACAAAAGTAATGGAGGCAACAGAAGCAGGGTTCAGAAGCTGCAAATTTACGCTGCCAATCCTATTCTTTGCTGACGACGGGCTCCTACTGAACCATTCTATTGAAGAAACAGAGACTAGCATCAGAAGACTGACAGCAATTAGCAAGGAGTGTGGACTAGACATAAACAAGAATAAGAGCAACATTATCACATTTAATCTGAAAGAACAGCACAGAAGCATAGAAGATATTGAAGTAAAAGAAAACATAAAATACTTAGGTCTGAAAGTAACAAATACAAGGGATGTGTTCAGAGGGCAGAAAAGAATCATGATTGAAAAGGCACAAAGAATGGCAAACATGACCTATTCAGTAATTTCAAAATCATGCAACAGACTGCTGATTGGTAAGACCTACTGGAAATCCCTAGCACTGCCATCAATACTGTACGGCTCCAGTGTCATGACAGTCACAGAGGAAGAGACCAAGAAGCTGCAAGTAATCGAAAATGGTGTCTACAGACAGATCTTGGGGGCTCCAAAATATGCACCAAATGCTGCATTGAGAGGAGAAATTGGAGCATCTCTGATGACAACAAGGATTAAAACTGGAAGACTTCAGTACATGAGAAGCATATTGCAAGGAAAAAATCAACTACTCAAAGAGGTGTTAACAGAAATGATGGACGAGGGCAAGAACAAATGGATAAAGGTAACCTATTCCATTATTAAGGAAGTCGGACTCAAAGTAAAGGATTTGTACCAGATAAGCAAACAAGACCTTAAAACACACATGCAAAAATGGGATGGAAAGAAATGGAAGGAGGAATTGTTAACTAAAACTACTCTGTCCCTGTATATTGTCTGAGGGCTGTTCACGGACCCTGTGTGCGGTCGGACCGCACACAGCCTCCAAGCTCCGCCCACTGCGTCCCTACGTCAGCCTTGCGTCACCGCACACAGCGACCGCTGTGGCCGGTCGGGACTGGCCACAGCGGACCGTCCACCGCACGCAGCCGTGACGTCAGAGCCGCCTACCCATCCCCTACCCCCACGCCTGCTGGACGTACCGCACACACCGCACGCAGCAGTGTGCGGTGCCCGTGAACACCCCTCTGGAAAAAGGAGATGAAGGAAGTAACGTTTATTGACAACCAGCAAGCATCAACAATATTTTTCCAGGCAAGAGCTAACTGTCTTCCTCTAAATGAGCGCAAGAGATACAAGAAAGAGGACACAAGATGTATGATGTGCAATGCAGAAAATGAAGACCTCGCCCACTTTATATTGAATTGCCCAGCCTACGAAGAAGAAAGAAAAGAATCAATACATCTTCAGAAACCCTATGCAAAGGATATTTTAGGGATATTTCTGTTTGAGGAGGAAGATATCGAAGAAAAGAAAGAAGTATTGCTTAAGCTGTGGAAGAAAAGAAGACTGCTGGAAATAAAACAAAGTTCTCCATCCTAGTTGACCTTCATCCTCCCAACACCCAATCCTGTCCCCTAGTGAGAATCCTAGCCACACAAACCAACCATAACAATGCAACCCATCGATCAAAGTAAAAGTTAAAGTTTAAGAAATCAAGGAGGTGCCGATACAAAGGCTAAACCTCCGAAAACCATCGCATCGCATCGCATAGTGGTGGTGAGATGTGAAATCAAGATGAGCTTGGAGGAGCTTGGAGGAGCGACGGGAACGATTTTTTGAAACGAGAGGAGGTTAGAGGAGCTTGGAGGAGGTTAGAGGAGCGACGGGAACAAACCCATTGATTCGTGTAAAGGTACGATTAGCTGCTTACGTTAGCAGAACGAGTTCGGTCCGTTCACGGCGCTTCCTGTATTTGCTGCGCCAATTTCGCTGTAGCTACCATATTTCCACGAATAAAAAACTTCAAGCCCGAGTATTTTTTTTACTTCGATCCTCGCTAGCCGATAGCCAAGTATGCAATCTTGCGATAGCCTGTTTATTTTATCTATAGATGGCCTTGGAGATAAATCTATAGCCGTTCATTCCTTCACGTTTCGCGCAAAGAACAACTCAGTGTTACCTTTTTATTAGATATAATAAAAACCTATATAATGTAAGTTCGTAAAAAAGTGCATCATAATCTAATTCGCGTGGAAGCACCATATCACACATGTGCAATTGCATGTCGAGAATACAAATCCCAAATACGCAGTGCAATGTCAAGGCATGGTGCACGGACACCATCCAGTGTGGAGATCTAATATCTATTCTCGATGTTGCAAACGTAGACACAATGTTATCACCCCAGGTTCGATGTCATCAGAGCGTCCCTCACGGGACTTCGGCACAAGGCGGAGCACACGTGCATCGTCTAACTAGCGAGCCGGCCACGGCGGCCACACACGCAGTCTTTGCGCCGCGGCCGGACATACTCTACTCGTTGTGCAGTGCATCCAATCACAGTGCGGGGCGGGCTACCGGGCCCGCCCCCGGTCCCCGAGGAGCTTCCAGCGTGGCCTCACCCCGCGGTACCACGCCGGTCCAACCACACGGGCCACCTCAGTCCAAAGGCAGATAAATTCACATCATTAGATCACAACAGGGCGGCTCCACAAGACAGCCGCAATTCCGCGACCCACGGCGGCGAGACACGGCGTCAGGGGAGGGAAGACGGCTATCAGACCGCCAGGGGCCACACCAGACCAGGCCCGCACGGCATCAGACCATCACAAGCCACCACACGACCCACAGACCGAGACAGGGTTCCACCCTCCCCGGTCGACGGCAGGCCGTGGTCAGTAGGTCCACAGATCACCTCTATTGCACCACATACTGCTTATATCCGCGGATGGCCTTCAGCTGTCGCTTCAGCAGCTTGACGAGATCCGCCGGCTGGACGACCAGCGAGATGTCGCGCCCGACGGCCGCCAGCCGGCTGCCCAGCTCGTCGCCCTTGCTGAACAGGCTGACCGCACGGCTGTTGACCTCGGTGATGTACCAGTTGCAGAGGGAGAGGCCGTCAGCAGAGCCAGAGCGCGCCGGAAGGCCGTGGCTGGCGGCCAGGCCGTCGGGCAACACCTGCCGGGAGACACGCGAGTCAGAGCGAGACACGGCGCAAGAAACACCAGGTTAAGCGTCAAGAGCCAGGGTATCTTACTTGGCTCCTAGCTGGAATAACACACGAATTTCATAAACATACGCGGCTAGAAACAATCTAAATCGTCCGTCCGATCACATATTCGAGAAACGAACGTGACAAGTTTCGGCAGCTCAGGATTAAATGTCATTTACGCTCTTTATGTAATCGATCGCTGAATGCGCGCGGTTCTAGCACAGCGCCAGCGTCATAGTCCACTGTGTGTAACTGACCTGCAGCAGTTCTCCGGTGGCTCCGTCCCGGACCAGGCCCAGCGGCTGGCCCTCGTGCTCCCGTTTCATGGCCACCACGATGGCGTGCGGCATCCGCTGTACCACCAGCTCCACCTGGAGGCAAATGGACCACGCTCGTGCTTAGAAAACCAGGCAGATGACAACTAGGGGTCGGGCGGCGAACTAGCCGCTCGAAAGAAACCGAAAGTACAAACGATCTGCAGCTGTGAGGCTTTGCTTACCATCACAGGTTCAAGAAAATACATTTAACATTGTTTGGTGAAAATTAGGAGTGTTTGACAATTCGTAGTTTACTAAGGATCAACATTCAATTACAAACACTGTCTTTTACGATGCCATTTTGTGAAGCAACACTAAATCCTTAAAACGTTTAACGAATACAATACTCCGCTTCAGCTTCACAAATGTTTTAGCAATGAATAATTGAGTATGAATGGACAATAGTCCATGGTGTGAGGTCCTTCTGAACGACCCAATCATCCCTCTCTCCCCTCTGGAGTCCTCACCACGGGCGCCTGCTGCTGTTTGACGAGTCTGCCGAACTCTGCTGCCGAGGTGACGGCCACGCCGGCCACGGAGGCGATCCGGTCACCGACGTGCAGCGCGCAGGCTAGCGCCGGCTGCTCCTTCCACCGCCAGCCGGCAAGCCTGATGGACAGGGGAGGGGGGTCAGCCACTACAGTCGGCCAGCCTGCGGACGGGAAGTGAGGTAACAGCAGGTCTGCCCAGCGGACAGGGGAGGGGGGTCACAGCCGTCCGGACTGATAAGGCAGGGGGAGGGGAGGTCATACACTACAGTCAGCCTGCCTGAATATAAGACAGGGGAGGCGAGGTTAGGCACTCTGAGCGCCCGCTGCTGCTACTTCTACCGCGAGCCGGCCAGCCTGGCGGATGCGGGCGGGGTGGGGCCATACACTGACATACACAAATAGGGCAGGAGAAGCACAGCCGGCCAGCCTGACGGATATAGAAGGATGCCAAATCACGCACAGACAGGAAGGTTTACACTTAACAGGCTCGTGAAAGTTTGCAAAGTTTCGTTCCGTGTTCCTAGCAGCACAGAAAGGCATCATATTGCAATGGTTTACTAATCATCGCAGATAATTTACACTTAAGCCTCGCTAAAAAGCTAAAAAGTTTGCACTCATTGGTAGATAGATAGATAGAATAAATTTATTTCATTAATCAGGACACGTACAAAACAGTGATCGCCAATTGGTGCAAAAGCAATTTTGCTTAAGTTGCAGCACCTCTCGGCTCTTACGTGCTATCGCCCGAGTCGGATCAGCCTACCACCGCACGCACGCACGCGCCACACCCGCAGCGACCGCCACCACGCCGCCACCACCGCACCGCCGACCCGCCCGACCGCTCCGGCCCCGGCCGGCCCGAGGGGCCAGCCCGCCAACCCGATAGGCTACTTGAAACGTCCTGTATCGGATAAGAATTTTTGAAAGAGCTGGGCCACCACCCGGTCGCTGCCTCTCGCAGGACTGGGTCCATTTAATAACAAAGTTAGCAAATCAGAGGAGCGGAGAACAGAAACGTTAATTTCTAAATGGATGCTCAAGGCTCTAAGCAGGCGATCACGAACATTACGGTAAATAGGACAGTATAAAAGAAAGTGACGAACAGTTTCACTGGGTGACCCGCATTGACATTGAGGGGAATCAGAAAGCTGTAAGGGGAAAAGGTGAGCATTGAGCTGAGACATCCCGACCCTTAGCCTAGTGTGAACCCTGTTTCCAAATTTGGTACCGTAGGAGAAATAGTGAGGAGGGGGAGGGGTTCCCAAATGCTTAAGAAGGGCCTTTTTGAAAAGTTTAATGGATGTTTCACTGCGGATGTTGTTAGGAAGTGTGTTCCATAGCTTAGTGGTTGATGGTACGAATGAGTTTTGAAATAATGTAGTCCTATTCTTGGGCAGTGTCTGTATGTTGGAATTTCTTAGGAGTCTGCCGGTGTCTTGCGATCGAGTGTTAGGAATGATGGAAGTGATGTACGTAGGAAGTTGTGATTGTGGTTGCCTGAGTGCGTAGTACATTGTGAGTTTGTGAATGTTCCGTCTCATTTTGAGGGTAGTCCATCCTAATTCCTGTCTCAGTTTATCAGTCGATGTCCTACGTAGAGTTCCTGTCACAAGTCTAGCTACCCTGTTTTGAAGTCTTTCCAGTCGTAAGGAGTCAGTCAGTGTGATACTTCCATCATAAATAATGTCACAATAGTCAAAGTAGGGTCGGATGTAAATGCGGTAAATGAGATCCAGTACGTGTCTTGGTAAAAGTGATGCTATAGGGTAGATAGGACTTAAGGATCTATTGACTTTTAAAATGATGTCATTTACATGTTGATGAAAGCGCAAATCTTGAGAAAGGGTAATACCGAGATGCTTGTGGGAGTGAGATATTGGAATTGGTTTTCCGCTAAAGATAAGATGTGGTGATGTTGCCGGATTTGAAGAGTTTGAGAGTGTAATTTTGATAGTCTTTTCAGGATTAAATGCTATTATCCATTTCTGGCCGTATTGCTGTATTTTGTTTAGATCGTTCTGGAGTGATTTTTGAACGTTAACTATGTTAGTGGATGTATGAGATGCGTGCAAAGAAGTGTCGTCGGCAAAAAATTGGGTGTTGTTCTCTGTTATTTTTGATAGTTCATTGAGATAAAGAATTGCAAGAAGAGGCCCGAGGACTGAACCTTGGGGGCAGCCAGCATTTATTGTTCGAAAGTTAGAAAATGACGAGGATATTTTGACGCGATGCTTACGATTTTGGAGGTAAGATTTGATCCAAGCCAAAAGCAGTCCTGTAATTCCGAATTCGTTTTCGCATTTGTAGATTAGTCCTTGGTGCCAAATTTTATCAAAATACTTTGAGATATCGAGAAATATAGCTGTGAAGTCGTTACCTGAATCGAGAGACTTGTACAGATTGTGACAGAGATAGGTAAGTTGAAGTTGTGTGCTATGTTTCGGTCGGTACCCACTCTGTTTTTCTGATAATAGATTATGCTCCGAAAGATGACTGTATATATTTTTGAATACAATTTTTTCCATCACCTTGGATAAAGTTGGAAGAATAGAGATCGGTCGGTAGTTTGTTGGATCTGATTGAGAGCCTTTCTTTTTGAAAGTAGGGTGTATATTTGCTTCTTTCCACATGTCTGGGAAGATTCCACAGCGAAATGATTTGTTAAATAGCATTGAAAGAGGTTCGGCGATTATTATGGCAGAAAGTTTGATTATTTTGGCTGGAAGCTGGTCTGGGCCACATGATTTGTTGGGGTCTAGTGAGTTAATAATTTTGAGTACTTCGTTTGGGGTAGTGACAATTGTATTGAGAGTGGGTACCTGGCCTCTGTTGTATGACGCAGGAGGCATGTGGTTAGGTGGGATAGTGAGAAGTGATTGGGCTGCGAAATGGTCGTTAAATAAAGTCGCTTTGTCATCGTCGTTGGTCAGTGTCCGCCCGTTCGTTGTCATCAGAGGTGGTATGACTTCGTGTCGATTGCGTCCTGTTATGTTCCGTAAAGTCTGATGATATTTGTATGGGTCGTGTTTCTGTTCTAAAAGCTTATGAATCTGATTGTTGAGATGGTTCTGTTTGAGTCGCCTATTTAGGTCAGTGACTAAATTCCGTTGAGCTCGCCATCTGCCCCATGCCTGATCGTCTATCCCCTTATGTTTGGCAGTCCTAAAAAGTCTATCACGTTTCCTTATGTGTCTTTTGAGCTCGCTGGTTACCCAAGGTTTATCGTTTTGTCGAATACGTATTATTTTCGTTGGTATCGCTTGTTCAGCTGCAGATAGAAGTGCCAAAGTAAAATTTGAAGTAGCGGTGTTGATGTCTGTTTCGAGTATTTGTTGCCAGTCAATGTTCATAAGAAGCCTAGTAAATTTATCAGCATCTAGCCCGTTGTAGTTCCATATCTTTTTGAAGCGAGGTGGAGTGGTTTTAGTATTAAGGTCAAGAGTGGCGTATATAGGAAAATGATCTAATGTGGAAAAGGAAGACAATGTTCCGCTGTCGATCAGAATCTTCATTACACACTTCCATTTGGCTACATCGTTGCAACACTCGGATCAATCGTTACAGTCTTTTTTTTTTAAATCGCTTGAGACTCTCACTGAGCTCTCGTTACTCTCACATCTTTTTCAAATAGGTCCGTGAGAGTCTCAAGCGATTTTAAAAAAGACTGTAACGATTGATCCGAGTGTTGCAACGATGTAGCGACTTCCATTTGGTTGTCATAGTTCCAGACGACACGTCAGCGTGACTCACCAGACGGCGCCGAATCCATCGACGAGCGCCAGTGCGCCGCTGACAGTGCGTCGCGGCAGCATCATACGCACGCCGGGCCGGTGCGCGATCTCCCGGCGAAGCACCATCACCTGGTGTTCGCGCAGACTGAGCTGACGCGCCGCGCCGTCCTGGGGGTAGGAGCGGTGAGGCATGCGGTCAGGGTGGGCACTGGGCACAGAATGAGCACGGAGGCTCGAGTGCTGGTGGTGGTTCTGAAAAGCTAAAATACAGTTTGAGACTAGTCTGTGGTGACATCGACCATTCTTAACAAGAAAAGTTTGCAAACAGTTCGAGGGTGCAGCATAGATGCTTGTAGAATGCACACTCGAAAGGAAATTTCGACCCATATTATTTCAGGCACTATAAATGATTCGAATGTGCGCAGTGCCATCTCCCCCTTCCGCACTTTGGAACTGGGCGCGGTTTCACTCACCCTGCGCGAAGGGTCGACGGCGGGCCGGGGCCGGCCGGCGGTCGCGCCGCGGCTGTCCAGGCTGGTATCACTAGTCTGACGCTGCAGCGGTGGCCGCATCGACGGCCGCTGCTGCGGAACCGAGCTGTGTGAGCGCTGTACCGTGGAGTGCCCCCGGCCGGCCTCCCCCGCCCCCGCCGTGGCTCCTGTCGTCCCCGCCGCGGCTGCGGGCGGTGTCGGCGGCAGGACCGGATGTGATCTGCTGGAATCTATCGGCGGCGATACTGTCGACGTCCGGGCGGACTCGGCCGCGGTTGTCACCACCGCGGCTGCAGCTGATACCGAAGGCACCGCTCTGCTGGCCGCCGCCGCGCTGCTGGCCTCACTGAGTCGCTCGTAGAGCAGAATATCCTCCGCGGCCGGCTGTGCCGGTGGGGACGCTGCGAGCGGCGAGCGGTCCGCTCTCCTCTCCGCCACACTCTGCGCCGCCGGCGGAGGGACAGCCGCCGGCCGCGCCGGGGCCGTCATCCGCCTCTGACGGGGCGGAGAGGCCTCACCACCTCCAGCTGAGTCGGGTACGGTCAGTCGCAGCGCCTCCCCGACACTGATGACGGTCACATGCTCGTCGGCGGCGGCTCGTCCGCCGGCCGCCGGAGGGGTCGGAGGGGTGAGCGGGGCCGTCGAGCTCGGCACGCCAGGCGGAGGCGGCGGCGAGGGCAGCGGTGAGCTCGGCTCGTCGTCGAACCGGGTCCAGTGCGCTGGCGGGGAGGCCGGGGGCGTGACGGGTGCGGCTCGCACGGTGACGGGTACGGTGGGGGCGACCCGGCGCGGCGCCGCCGGTACGGACGGCTCCGGAGCTGCGCCTCCGCAGCTGGTGGGGACGGTAGGAGCGGCGCCAGCGGCGGTCGCGCTGGGCGACACGGAGTACGTGTTCTCGGCTCTCGATGTGGCCACAGACGAGGTGACTGTGACGTCGGCTGATGAGGTGGACGGAGCGGGGGCAGCCGCCAGCCGCGGCCGCGGCGCCGCTGCGCACAGGGAAAGTTATGTTAGTGTGGACACTGGACAATGGACATGCCAAGACAATGCATTATAACAATGGCAATGCACACGACCTCACAAACTAGGCAAGGTAGGGATAACTATTGTCCCTCTCCAGAGCCAAACAGGGGTAATAGTCCGATTCGAGCCGTTTCGGTGCTCTCCATTTTCTTTTCAAGAAGAGCCAGCAATACGCGGCCGCGGTAATCGCTAAAGAGCAATGATGTGGGCAAGCGAAAGGGGCCTTTTACAAAATAAAGTTTTGGACCGATCCGAGTCCGGTTATGGAAATGCGTTCAACGTTCGAATCATCGACTGATCGATTTAAAATTGCACGCTCGCTATAACTTCACTAGCGCATATCTCTGTTCCACAGCAGCCATGGCGCAATATCACGTTGATGATATGGACGGACTACCGGCTCAACGCCGTGACGGGAACAATAGATATTCGCACGGAAAGGTCGGAGGCGTACTACTTTCCTTAACTTCCGTCATGCAGCTTGGTGAGTTCTAGACATCGCTTATTTAATCATGCCATGCATCTCCGGCGGCTAGACAAAGGATTTCACGAGGATTGGATTTCCGGCGGCTTTCAAAGGATTGTTCTCACTTAGAAAATGCTGCTTAAAACGCAAGTTTATCGATTGGATAGTCTATGTGTGAAATCGCAACGCTGCACAATCATAGCGACGCTGTTAACAGGGGACCTGCTAGTGGTATTTTCGCGCCTTAACTACACATATCGACAAAAACGTCACAAATGAAGCAACATATCGACGCAAACGACAAAACGAACTGCATCAAACTGCGGAGGGTGGCCGTCGGACGCCCGTCCTACCTCACTGATCCGCGGGACCCAAAAGCGACCGCCAGCTGGTGTCCAACCCTAATACCTGCGGGAGCCAACACTGTGACCGCCAGGTGTCCTACCTCACTGACCTGCGGGACCCAACAGTGACCACCAGGCGTCCTATCTCACTGACCTGCGGGAGCCAACAGTGACCACCAGGTGTCCTACCTCACTGACCTGCAGACCCGGCAGTGACCGCCGCCGGGCGCCTGTCCAACGGCCCTGAGGAGCCCAGCGACTGCCGGGCGCCCGTACAACTGACCTGCGGGAACCAACAGTGACCGCCAGGTAGCCTACCCAACTGACCTGCGGAGCCCAACGACTACCGAACGCCCGTCCAACCGACCTGAGGAACCCAGCGAATGCCGGGCGCCTGTCCATCTGACCTGCGGAGCCGAGCAGCGGCGCGCTGAGCACCGGCGGCTGGGGCGGAGCCGGCAGCGGAGAGTTCGGGTCACGCTGCAGCCCGAACTGCATGGGCAACCGCGGCGCCTTCGAGTACAGGTTCGATTTGGACTCGAGGACCTTCAGTTCGTGCAGCTGGTTACGGAGGATCGATATCCAGTCGTTTATTACCTCACTGAAACGAGGAGAGCGTTGTTCAGTGTTGTGCTTTGGGTTTCGACAATGCAAAAGGTGTTCCCACACGACGGGCAATTTTAGGAAACGAAAACTTTCATTCCTGGTAAACATTCCACTATCACATAAAAACGACATTTAACATTGCCAAACGCATAGGTATTAACAGAAATCTAGGAGCATGATAAATATTAAATTGAACCCGCAGGCCGCAAACTGCTTTCATTTCAAGCGTAACAACTGAATTCCGCCATTCGCCCCACTTTTACCGCACCACCGAGCCACAAACCACCCCGATACTGTCCCTGTCCACTCTCCCGCACCAGTGACGCGGTTCCCGTCCCGAACCCTCCTCACCTGCGCGAGGACGAGAACTTGACGACATCCTGTCGGAGTGTGATGACGAACTCGTGCTCGGAGGCCAGCGTGGGTCGGATGCTGGCCGACACGTGGTAGCACTCGGCCAGCGGGTAGCCAAACTCGGGCTGGTGGCCGGCGGCCGCCTGCCGCGACCCGTACTGCTCCAGGAACGGCGTCTGCTCGTCGTGCACGCAGAACACCATCCATACCTTCTCGACCCGCGGGTTCTGGAGATGGAGCCATGTTATGAAAAATGTTTTACTTTTGAATATGTTTCTTAGAGTTAGAGAAAATGATAAGCCATTTAATATCTTAGCAAAACAATTTTCCTTCACAGACAAAAATTGCATGGTTACAGCAGGCTTGTCATTTACACACAGCATCAGAACAAGCAAAAATAAATATTCAAAAATCACACACCAATAACTAACCTTGAATGACTTTTTCTTGTCATCTGATGTGATTTTCTTCAGCCAGCCAGCCCTGTACACCTCCCTCATCCCAGACATTTTTGCATAGTTTTGGGAGCTGAAAAAAAGAAACTGTTGTCATAATGCATTTCAAAGAACAGAAAAAATTAGGTGCAAAACAAGAATCAAAGTGGACAAGATCTATATATGGTCATCTTCATCTTTTTTTAGTGGTCTATAAAAAGATGAAGCATAAAAGCAAATAACATTTCAATGGTAAAACTGCTATACAGCGTACTGGTTAGAGGACATGGTTCTTATAACATCAGAAGAAAATGCCTCTACTACAGGCTTGACTTGTTGGACACCAATCTGGAGAAATATATAAGTGCCTTTGAATTTTTCTGTAATGATTCATTCCATGAGACAAGTGCTGAAATAAATTTTCAGCATGTTTTATAGATTGTGCACCAATATAAATAGCCCTGAGATTAAACTGCATCTGATAGACAAAATTAAACTGCATCTGATAGACATCTTTTTGTTGTAAAAATTCAACTTGAAAACTTGACATTTTTACCTGAACTCAGCTATATTCAGCTGAAAATGACATCAAATGACACAAATGACAATCATTTAAAAATTTATGGCCTAAATGGACCATAAAACATGTGTCATGTGGCCAATGCAAGATATAAGATGCAACCTAGGATGACCTGACCTTGACCTGAAAATCAAAGTACAACTTTGGTACGTACTGCAGGGTATCTTAAGCACCTATTCAAGAGTGTGTAAATGAAAAATGAGCCTGATCTGACTTGTAAACTGGTGGCCAGAGCCCAGAATTGGAATGTGAACAACCCAAACCATGATAATTTTTAATTTGACCTGACCTAGGTGACAACATTGGTGACCGCAAAGTCAATGAAATTAAATTTTGCTCAACAGTTTTTCCAGTTTTTTTTGCCAGTTTTCCCAACAGATTCCCTTTGAATTTGGACAATCTGCCAAAAGTTCTAGAATTAGGAGGGGGCTATGAATAGCCTCAAAGATTAGCCTATGAATAGCCCCCCCCCCCGGCCCCAAGTAGAGCACATAACACAGACTCCAGTCCCCAGCGGGGCACGGGCTGAATTATGAACATTGACAAGGTGAGATAAAAATAGTATACCATTACCACATTAGGTACGGACCAAAATATTAATTACAACAGCATATTGAGGAAAATGATGAAGAATGCAGACTGCATTTCAAATAGCAAAGTATGACTCACTACAAAGGCTTTAGGCTATGACTCATAACAATCCATCCGTTCTGAGCAAAATCAAGATTAGGCAGTCTTGACAGGATTGAGCTGAGGGGGAGAGTTCAATGATGAAGAAGAAAGCTGATGCCTCAATAAAACTAGTAGGACCTTGACAGGGGCGACACCGTTGACGTCATCATGTTTGACTTCTCCAAGGCCTTCGACGTAGTATCTCACCCTATTCTGCTCACCAAATTACATTTGCTAGGGATCAATACCCCCCTCATCCGCTGGATCGAGGACTTTCTTGTTGGTCGCCGCATGTCAGTCCAGGTAAAGGGAAAGACAAGCAGCCAGCGCAACGTCTCGAGTGGCGTACCCCAGGGTTCTGTCCTCGGACCAATTCTTTTTCTTATTTTCGTCAACCATGTCGCAAGTAACCTCCTCTGTCAGTATAAAATATTTGCAGATGACCTGAAGATCTACATGACAATACGCCACGACAGTCCAGCTAACTACTGTCGTGATTCACAGGCTTGTCAGAAGGACATAACGATGCTACAACGCACGGCAGAGTCCTGGTGTCTCTACTTAAATCTGAAAAAATGTGTGGTCATCCGCTTTCAAAGAAGGTCCCATGTCCTACCTCCCCCGTCCTATCACTTAGACCAAACATCGATTCAGGTCGTGAAATCCCACACTGATCTCGGGGTTCTTATTGATTCTGACCTGAAGTTTCACCAGCATGTGGCTTTGACAGTGCAAAAGGCTGCTGGCCTTACCCAAAACTTGTTAAGGTCAACTGTCTGCAGATCCCCTGATTTCATGCTCACTTTATTCAACACTCATGTAAGACCCATCATGGAATACTGCTCATGTGTATGGCACACTGCGTATATAGGGGACGTGCGCCTCCTCGAATCTGTTCAACGCCGTTGGACTAAAAAGATCTTAGGCATGGGAGAGCTTGATTATAAATCCCGGCTTAGGGCTCTGAACCAGTACTCGGTCCAGGGCAGACTTCTACGTGCCGATCTGATTCAATATTGGAAGATTTTCCACGCAAAGTGTTGTATAGATGCCACTACCATGTTCGAACTTGATCCCTCGTCTAGTACCAGAGGCCACAGGTTCAAAATCCGCCACACTCGAGCACAAACTGATGTCAGGACCAGGTCCTTCAGCAAGCGTTGTATCACCGCTTGGAACGCACTCCCTGACCAGGTCGTAGGTGAACCCGACCTGAGCAGGTTCAAGGCCATGTTGGCTGACTCGATGGGTGATGCCTTGTTCTCTTATCATATGTGATGGCTATTGCGTTGACCTGTTTCCCCTAATTTGTGTTTGCATTATTGTATACGATCTCTTATTGTATGTATCATGAAACTATAGCAAAATTCGTGTTTGTCACTATGCAGGCTCTTGTTCCCGGCTTGGCAGCACCCCTTGTGGTGTCTCCGCCGGGCGAGCCCTACGTTCGCGGGTTCCTTCCTCACGTATCCTATGCACATCCTCTATGCTGTACTCTGGAAGGCAGGGAACCCCCAACAGGTGAGTTGAACAGGTGAGGAACTGAGACTAAAAACACTTAAATAATTGCATTGCTAATAAATAAAACATCCAACTACCAATCTCTGAAATACGCAACTCACCTCACCCTCCTCAAGTTTCTTTTCCTCCCCAAGGATGCGGAAGTTGATGATCAACGAGCAAAGGAAGAAAAGGAGCTAACGAAGCACAAAAGAAATAGCTGTTCAGCGTCTCTAAAAGGAATGTGCCTGAACCCAGTCGACCAATAAAAACGCAGCTTTGATAAGCCAACATAAATCTTACAAAGTGATTCGCGGTGACGACTGCTCATTCTGGTTTCGAACAGCTGCTTCAAATGTTACATATATTGCGCGTATGAGCCATTCTTGTACGTAAACAACGCCCTCCCTTCAAAAAATTCCAGACCGAACCCACTGCTCAAGGTGAGGTTTTCGGCCACACAGCTGCCTGAACACCTTTATGCAGTGTACATGCGCTATGAAGTCAGGCCATCTCACCAGCTGCCTCGGCGCTGTGGCAAGTGCCAGCGTTATGGACACGGACAAGGCACATGTAGGTCTCGTGCTGAAATATGCAAACGTTGCTCAGAGGAGCATCCGTCTACAGGGTGTGTCGCCCCTCCCCACTGTGCTGCATGCAATGGACCGCACCCAATGACTGACAAGAACTGTCCCGTGTGGGTTGCAAAGGTGCAGGAGCTCCGCGAGGCCACACAACGCAGATCTGGACACGTGGCTGGCACCCACGGTGGGTCACCCCCCATGACCCAGCCCAGCACCTCCCACCACGAGGGAGTCCCGCGCCATGTGGGACAAACACAGGCTCAGATATCCCAGGCTGCAAACCGCCCACAGGACTGGCCAGAGCTCCCACCCCCTCGGGATCTGCCCCATTTCGCACGTCACGCAAAGCTGACGCCACCTGCCCGCAAAGACACGAGCCCGCCAGACCACCCAAGCACCCATGCTCGGAAGCGCGCGGCCGCGACGCCGGAACTCGCTCGGTCTATCGATGTAGGCTGCGCCCGGTCGACACCGACACCCAAGACAGTCCACCCTGACTCTCCCACCGTGGTTGATCAGCGAGAAACAGGCCCGCACAAAAGTGGTGGGACACGACACCAGGCCCAAACACCAGTCACCTGTGAAATGTCCCCCAGCAACCCAACTGGCGTCTCCGTAGTTACACCACTCCACCGGACCAGGGCTACAGATTCCGACGACGACACATGCTATGATGCCAATACGACGAGCGAGGACGAGGAGACCCCCAAAATGGTCGCCGTGTCTTCCGTCCTGCGATCGCCATCAGTCATTGATGACAGCGATTCCGACACTCAGCTCACCCTCCATGCAGAAGGCCCCAAAACTCGTCTCCGAGCACGCTCAACAAAGGAGAGGGAAAATGTGGGCCTTCGTACCCAGGTCGTGACCAGACGATCCTTCATCCCAGAATAGCGCGCCAAACAAACTAGATAGCTGCTGCAATGGATTTTTTGCTTCAATGGAATGTAGGAGGACTTCTATCCCATTTGTCTGAATTTAAACAGTATATACAAAAGGAAGCTCCCCTTCTAGCCGCGATTCAGGAAACTCATTTTAAAAGCACAGATCATTACAATTACAATGTGGCTGGATATACTTTGTACAGACAGGACATAAATCTAGCAAATAGACAGGGTGGCGTAGCTCTTTATGTAGCAAACTCAGTGTCACAACGGAAAACAAACATAGCTTCCCCGCTAAATGTTGTAGCAGCTACTGTTTCACTACTAAACCGCGAGTTGTTGGTTGTTTCAGTGTATTTGCCGCCAAATGCAACTGTTGTAAACCGGCAAAATCTGAATGACCTTCTAGAGCAAATGCCAGAAAATTGCCTTCTGCTCGGCGATTTCAATGGTCATAGTCCACTATGGGGCAGCCGACACTTATCGCCGAGAGGCAGGATAATTGAAGCTGCACTAAACCGCCAGTCCCTTGTAGCTATGAACGACGGCAACCCAACGTTTGTCAGTAGTAGCTACCACACAACCTCTGCAATTGATTTGTCAATTTCTTCCCCGAGGATCGCACCGCTCTTTAGATGGACCGTAACATCGGATCCGCTGTTTTCAGACCATTATCCAATTCACATCATACTTACCAGTGCAACCACGCTGTCACCAGCACCGACACTGAAGGTATGGCAAACAAATAACGCGGATTGGTCGGGCTTTAACGCAAAGGTCAACAGACATGCTCCCTACGGCCTGTCTCAGACCATTTCCAATTTTATGGGGGCTATGAAGAAATCGGCTAGTGAAACGCTAAAAGAAAAAACTATTAAGATTGGAACTGCAAATGAATCTAAAAATCTTGTCTGGTGGAACTGGAAATGCCAAAGAGCCAAAGCAATAAGAAAAAGAGCTTTCAGAAACTTCCAGAGATGCATATGTCCCAGACATGCCCAACTGTATACCGCTGCCCGTAAGGAATGTGCGGAAACTATATACAAAGAAAAGAAGGCGGCATGGCAAAACTATGCCGCTAAATGTAATCGTTTTACCCCGCTCAGCGAACTTTGGAGTCATGTTCGTGCTTTCGCCTCACGACGAACTAATTCAGGTGCTTTTCCGCAATTGCTTTCAAACAATATATTCGTAACTGACCCAGTTACCGTCACAAATATATTTGCCCAACACTTTGCCAACACATCATCTACAGATATTTACTCCTTGAGCGTGCATCGAGCTCTCGTTAAATAGAACAGTAAATCTTGATTTTTCTTCTGCAAACTCTGAACCATACAATGCTCCTTTTACCCTAAGAGAACTTAAACTATCCCTAGCAAAGGCAAGCACTAAAACTTCGGTAGGACCAGACTCCATTCCATATTCTTTTTTCACAAAATTGAACGAACTTAACCTTTCCACACTACTGATAGCATTCAACAAACTATGGACTGAGGACAACTTCCCGGATGAATGGCTTAAAAGTATAATCATACCTATCCGCAAACCCGGCAAAGACCAGCACGACGCAAATTCGTATCGCCCAATCTCACTAACCAATTGTGTTGCCAAGATTTTCGAAAGAATGGTTAACAGGCGCCTGCGATTTTACCTTGAGAGCAACCATTGCATTGATATATGTCAAAGCGGTTTTCAGAAAAATCGTAGTACGGCAGACAATATCATTCGCCTTATCTCGGACATCCAGGTAAACTGGGAACATAGGCGACCGACTGTTGCTATTTTCCTAGATCTAATGTCAGCCTTCAACAAGGTACACAGTTCGACGATAATTTATAAGCTGCACTCAATCGGAATCAGAGGCCATTTGGCTGCGTTTCTTCAAAATTTCCTAAAACCCCGAACTTTCAAAGTTCGTTGCCAAGCGACACTTTCTGACGACTTTGTAATGGAACATGGCGTCCCTCAAGGCAGCGTGCTGTCACCTACGCTGTTCTTGATTGCCCTGAACGATATGCTCCTACTCCTGCCACGTGTTCTAACATTTTCTGTCCGCTATTCGCTTTTTGCTGATGATATAGCAATATGGGTATCCCACAAAAACTACAAACAGGCTTATTCTATATTGCAAACAGTGGTTGATCACTGCGTTAAATGGTGCACAAAATGGGGATTCTTTTTGTCAGCACCAAAATCAGTCATGATGGTCTTCAAACGTGGACCTCGACCATCGCTTGAAAGATCCCCACACATCGATGGGATTAAAATACCTTTTTCCACGTCACACAAATTTCTAGGGATCATTTTGGATACTAATCTAACCTTCCGTCAACACGTTGAGCACCTAAGAGCACGTTGTATTAAACGAATCAATGTCCTAAGATGCATATGTGGGTTTTCTTGGGGTGCGGACAGGAAAACATTGCAAATGTTGTATATTGGGCTAATCAGATCTACGATTGAGTATAATTGTTATCTGTTTAGCACACTGTCGCCCAGTTTATGCAAACGGCTAGAAGCCGTCCAATCAACGTGCTTGAGACTTCTAACTGGGGCTTTTCGCACATCGCCAGTTCTTGCGCTTCGTGCAGATACCGGCATTCCAGCACTTGATGACCGACGCGTCTTTCTTTTCCTCCGCTATTACTACAGAGCAAAAAGTGTTCGAAATCACATTGCGGTACCAGCAATGGAGGCGAGGAAACCAAGAACCCGACGCCCACTGCGTAGATCGTGCTTTCTACCCGGGTGCCTTGAGCAAGCTCATCAACTGCTAAACATTAGGCGCACTGAAGTTACTCTAAATCCTCCTATGATTCCATTTTGGCTCCTCAAAGACCTATCCATTGAATTTCTTTTTGATTATAAGAAGACCAGTATACCTCCGGTGGAAGCTCAAATGCTCTTCCAGGAGTATGTAGAGCTCAACTGCGACTCTGCTTTTTTCTTCACAGATGGCTCATGTCACGAAAATCAGATAGGTTCAGCAGCCGTCGGCCCTGGGCTTAGGTTTGGGACCCGGCTTCAAGAATTTACGACAGTCTTTAGTGCCGAAGTTCACGCAATCGAAAAAGTTATGGAGCACATCAAGGCAGAAAAGATTGATCGAGCAACCATCTGTACTGATTCGAAATCCGCTCTTCAAGCACTGGAAAGGACCGATAATGTTACCCACCACGGTATCTACAATATTCTCAGGATCACATCAGATCTCAATGAGGGCCAGCATGTGACCCTTCTTTGGGTTCCAGGTCATTACGGTATTGCAGGAAATGAACGTGCGGATGTCCTCGCAAAGGAGGCTGCAATGCGACCTGATCCAGTTGTGGAACCTATGGCCCAAGGGGACGCTATTCATATGATAAAAATGAAATTCGCCGAGTACCTTCAACGCAAATGGGACCAACATCATGCTGCACATATGTATGCGATCAAACGAGAACTTAGAACATGGGTCACATGTAACCAACCAGACAGGATACGCGAGGTGACCCTGGCCAGATTGAGGTGTGGTCATACTCGCCTCACCCATGGCCACCTTTTTGATAGGACGGGCCCTCCGATTTGCCACACCTGTGACACACGCATCTCCGTAGAGCACATTTTGATCGCATGCACGGCATTGCATCACGAACGAAGACACATCACTAACTATCTTGCGGTACAACACCTTAAAAACGACCTCCCGACGCTTCTCG